CGGTGTTCCAACATTATTACAAGTTTCGACAAAGTGTGCTATATATTGTTTTAGGTTTTTATTGTCGTCAAATATTTGCAACATAGGAGGTTGATGACCAACATATATCTTTAGGTTATCAATTCATTGAGAATATAATTTTACATATGTGAAAAGAGATTTGCATGTAGAACCAAATTTTTCTTTAATAGCATTTTTGATGTAGTCTTTCAATTGGCGAACGGGAATCTGAATTTTGCTAGACAAATGAAAATCATTGCTGACTGTTTCTTATTTTAAGAAGGACCTTCTTTTCACTTGAATTTCATTAGACCTTGCACATAATTGAGTGAGTTCTCTCTTCTCCATGTTCTTCATTAAGTTCTTCATCTTGATAATTTGAACGTCTTAATTTATGATATACTTTGATAGGCCTTCAATTGCTTTTGTCTAATTTACGAGATTTTATCCTAATGTGGAAGTTTCGATCATCATATTTTGCATCATCTAGTAGATAATGGAGACTAACATTGATTTGTGGGGGACTTCACACCTTTTGGAGATTAACTAAAGCCAATAGTAGATTCATATGTCACTCATAAGGATTTTTGTCCTAGAGATTTGGATTGATATATCATAACATGTCTCATACTTACCACAGTAACCTCAATGATGTTCTCCACTTTAGCACAAAATTTAGATCCATCAATTATTGCGGATGCGGATGCAGATAAATATTTCGAGTTGATCTTTAGGAAATCATCTCAGTTATCTTGAACTTTGATTTTTGAAGAGAATAGATGTGAGGTAAAAATTGTCTCACTAGCATGCCTATTTGTGTGTGTCTAAAGTATCGTCCCTGAAATACAACAAACAAGAAAGAAAAATAGTAAGCAAAAAAGAGTATATGAATTTGAATATATGTGAAGGTCACAATCATCATGCAATCTTTATGAAACATTACGTGATTCCCTTATTCTTCTCTTCATGACTGATCTTGATTTGATGGAATATTTACGGTGCAACACTTGGATTAAAGGCTTTTTTGCATGCGGAAGGCGTGCCAATCATGTGTTCTTAGGCCCAAGCGGTAGTAGTTTCCTAGTTGGAGTTGGCACACCTAGGCCCGACACCAGAGGTTGGTTGGCGCATTCGGTAAAGCATTCCACTAGCTGGCGCATAGCAAGCAAGAAAGCTCAAAGCAAAGCCAGCAGTAAGATCCGGAGCAGGAGCATTAGGGTAGGCGATGTCCGCTGCATGGTGGAATTTAGAAAGTTGTCGGAAACAGGCACCACCTACCCGAGCAAGAGTTGTGCTTATCGGGTAAATCCGGAGAAGGGGAATTGAACTCTATGAGATCGACTCTCCTGTTGTTACTCAGTAGCGCAGTGGTAGAGCGGTCGGCTGTTAACCAATTATTCTTCTCCCATTTGGTCTTATAAAGATCCCATTATATAGATGTGAGCTAGGTTTTTTGGGGTATTTTGGTTTTCAAATAATTCTAGAGGATCTTGGGCTTGAACGATATGAGTTGGGCTCGTATTATCAACTCAACAGACTAACCAAAATGTAATTTAGATTTTATTTAAGTCCTATATTTTTACTTAAATATTAATCATACGTTATTAACTAGTAACTAGACACGATAATTTTTTTTTGTTTTTGTGTTAATCAAAATTTAATATGGATTTATCAATAAATTTTTCTATCTGCAGTTTATATATATGTCATCGCAGGTCCGTAAGAGAACCCTCGTCCTATCTGACTACAAGGGGAAGACTAACTTAAACATACCAAAGTTTTAAGAACAAAAAAAAGATGAAACTGGAATAAAAATCTTTAACTCAAATGAAAAACTTAGAATAAAATAATGTATTCAACTCGTCATATAATAGGAAACTTGAAATCCTTGATACATTTAATAAAATAAATGAACGATACATATTTCTTAACTAAATGGACTATCTATGACGCCTCTAACTGATAAATATGGAAGTTGGGACAAGACCCACTACGTCCTGACTAAATAAAAAAGTAAATGAAATCCTCCGAAAGCAAGGACGCTCACCATAGCTAACTCGAACTTTCATACGTATCAACGAAACTCCTGTTGATGATCCTATATAACTTTGTCTGTATCATGAGAAGATGCAGGTCAATTGGCTCAGTACGTGGAATGTACGATCATGTAATGGGAATTCTAAATCATAAAACATACGCTTGAACTTGATAAAAAGGAAACATACTTACCTGTTTTTAAACTTACTCAATTCAAGGATACTCTAAACTACTCAACTTAGAAGTACTCAAGGATAAGATACTCAACTCAAAGATTAGATACTAAAATTCAAAGATATGATACTCGAATCAATGAATTATAGATCTAATCAACATACTCAACTTAAGGTATTCAGCACGAAATACTCAACTCAAGATAATTAACTAAACTCATTTCAATATAGAACAGTTTAAAACAAGTGAGATATAAAGAAAAGTTGTTTAAAAACATGATGTCAACTCTGTGTACATAACAAAGATACAACATAAATTAGCAATGTATATGAAAAAACAATTAACTGATGTATATAAAAATACAATAACTTTTGTGGGTGTTTCTCTAACCGACACCATCAATTAACAGCTATAGTGATGACACAGCACTTTACCTCACGCTGCGAAAGACCATCTTATACCTTGCCATCAGTATAGGACCTAACTGAATTTAGTTGATACACTAGTCTACTGTGAAAAGGATTCAACTAAAATGTATGACACTATTCTACCCAAGATGAGTACAAGGTTTTATGGAGACGTGAATTATCTGAATGCATGCTCCCCAATTTGGTGCTCAATATTACTCCCAAACTATACTAGTTCTTATGTTGTAAAAACATACTTCTTCTGTGATTTAAGATTAGTTCTCAAAAACATAGCTCAAAGGCTATCTTGAAAATTCTAGTTTCCCTTCTTAATTCATTTAGAAAGTTGTTACTCTTTTCTGAAAACTAGCCCGGAGGCTATTGGGAAATCTCAGTTTCCATTCTTATTTAAATGTGAAAACATTTTATACCTCTTTGGGAATGCTTGGTACCCATATACTTTTGAAGAAATGAACTTCATCTTTTTTTGTTTACTTTTTACTATTTACTCTTTACACATATTGAACTTGAACTTTAAGTCCTAAAACAAAGTTGTAACAGACTTTCAAGAACTTTATAAATTTAACCTTTACTTGCTTCTTAACTTCTAGACTTGACTCTGAACTTTCCTTGAACTGAAGTATGGATTCGAGGGTAATGATCTCATGTTTATGGATGATTTCATGATGTTCAACTTGGAGGGTTCATGTGGAATCGTGAGCATGAAATACTCAACTCATGAACTCAAAGACACTTCTTATCTAAAGATTGTATAAATTATAGGGTTCATGCGGAATGGACATGCACTACTATCACAAGGATATCATGTGTAACATGTAATAGTCCCATTATTATGAATATTATATCAAAAGGAATAAGGAACTCAATACTCCTCTCAATAATACTCAATTTATGGAATTCATGCGCAAGTTTGGGCATGAACAACTCGACTCGAAGGTCAAAGTAACTAGATGGAACTCAACTATACGACTCTTCTTATTCTCTGACTTACTTCCTCAAAACTTAGTTCAAATTGATAGTTGATCTCAAAGGATTAAAAATTGAACTCAAAGACTTTATTGAGCTTACTCTTAACTCTCTCTCTCTCTCTCACTCTCTCTCTTAAATGTAAATTATGAATTCAAAAATTATGGTTGATGATATGAAGGATATAGGTGATATTTTTGACTCATGAATACATAATTTTCACTCTTATACTCACTTTCTTGAGTCTTGACACAAGTTACTAGAAGTTCTAGAAGACTCCTCAAAAGGACTTTCTTAGAACGTTTGGAAGAATTCTCAAAAACTTAACTCTCATCTCTACCTTGAATTTTAATTATGAATTCAAGGTGAAGAACATGTTAGGAATTACTTTAGATAGAAAGAACAAGATTCTTGAAGAAACTGGCATAAGAAGTTGAATATAAATCTTGAAACCCTAGCTTGAAGGTAAATGATCAAGAAAACCTTTCTTGAGATTTTTGAATTAGTATCTTGAAAATCCTAGGTATATATTAGGATTATAAAATTGAACCTAATAGGATTTTAGACCTAAAATATTAATTCAAAAGAATTAAATGTGGTTGGATAAGGAAAAGACCAAAATACCCTCCCTATTTTCGGCCAACTTACCATTACTGGAAAGCCTAACTTCAAAAGGTCATATCTTACTCATCAGAACTCGAAACATAGCAAACTTGGTGGCATTGGAAAGATAGCTCAAAGATATTTCGTGTTGTATATTTTATCACACCTAATTAATTTTGTGTTAGGAGCTCTATTCGTTTGAATTTTATCTAAAACTCATACTTATCTTAACTTGCAAAATTTCAGATTTTGCTATTTCCGATTTAATTCTTTTTTTATTTCAAGGTGTTAAATATAGTGAACTGACCTTGATACTTAAGAAATTTTTTATTCCTTCGTAAAATCTCACTAACTACGGAGAATGACTCATGTCTTAGCTCAAAAAAATTTTGGGGTGTTAGAATATACTAATATGTTACGTTTAAAAACAATGAATTTTCATGACACTATGATTTGTCTAGTATTGAAGAAAATATTGCAAATAGTGATAATTCTTTCATGGAAATGGATTGTAGTACTCTTGTTGATTCATCTTTTTATGGAATTATCCTAAATAAGGTTGAATTATATATATAGGTGTAGTTGTCACGACCTGGGACTAGACCCTAGTCGAAATCAGCATTGTTGACCTCTCAGAGGTTGCAGACAAGCCTATATAGTCATCATTACATCGTATCAGTTAATTTTAGCGGAAAATTTAAAAATTTTGTTTGCATTGGATTATACATAGACTTCATAGTAAGAATTGCATTATATCACGTCAGTTCACAATAGCCATCTAATAATAAGATATTGAAATGAAGGAAATATTTCATAATTGCATAAATATAAGTTTCCAAAATGGCACCAATATGACGTCTGAAAAATAAGTACGAAAGAAACGCTAGTGGAACACCCTCCACTAGCTCATGCCTACGTCAAAGCTGGAATATAAGAGATAAGAATCCTCGAATGCATGATGGACTACAAAGTCTGGATGAATGTTCCAAGTCCGGATAGCTTAAGTGTAGTCTCGTAAGCTTTAGCGTCCACCTGCACCTGCACCTAAAAGTAAAAGATTGTATGGGCTTAGTACACACTTGTACTAAGTATGGGTGTATGCAAGTACACACCAAGGACATGCATGATTAAGAAGAGCTTTCTCCTAACGATATGAGTTATGGAAAGCCAAGTCAGTTGGACTTGTAAAATCGGATTAGGAAAGTCATGCTATGAGAGTAACATGAATCATCATTCTTTTCATAATGCACACAGCACATAACACACATTATTTAGCACATACTTATGTCATATATCATTCATTTGTATGTCATGAGACTTGGAATCACGGACATAACATTAGGACTTCCCAGATGAGGGCTCAACATATGGGACCTCAATTAGAGAGTCTTCTTTAGCAAACACAGAGTCTGCTTCATTGATTCATACGTAATTTTCATTTTTCTCATTAATTTATATATCTAAGATGTTGTTTAGGACTCTCTTCGAGTTAATTGTGCAATGACCAAGAAGGACCTAGTTTCATTACTTGATTCTAGTTCACCTCTTCATTATCCTATCCAAACACCTTTGGTATCATTTATTTCATAGTGTGCATTTCAGGGGGCTGGCCTCATTCTTTCTTTGGGAACTTTAAATTTATCCAACATAGATCATGTGAGATCCATGAAATCCAGTGTATACCCCACACCGAAAATAGATGGAATCACCAGCCAAAGTGAAACCAAAACATGCTAACGTATATAGGGAATTGAACTCTGCTAGATCCCTATGTTGGATGCATAGGTTCAAAGACTAGGATATATAAGGAGACTCATACCCGCCTAAATGGACAGTCTCATCTCATGAGATTTATACGAACCCCTACCTTCCTGAAAGAAGGAATCGCGACTCATAGCTAGCATATCGGTGCTCTGTATAAAGTTCCATTACATTCATCTCACACATCATAGAAGTTGCCTTCTAGCATGAGGGCATCATTATTCATTAGATGATTTCTCATCTCATCTTTAGTATTAAGTGTATATTGATCTCAATACTTTTATTAGAGTGTTTCTTAGAGACTGATCTCTTTATTAGTTTTGCACTCTCATAGGTGAGTACGATTTTTGGTAACACTTATTAGGGTCATTTGAGATTGATATCGTCTTTCATATTAGCCTCTTATCATGTTATCATCACATTCATTAACTTTACCATATTAGATCTTTGTATTTACTCACCTTATTACGTGAATGTTCATCTCATCATATGCCATTGCACTTGTCCGTTTAGTGTATTTCACACTCTTACTTAACCCTCTTGGGATTACATCATTTCATCATATACATCTTAGGTTCACTTACTTTTGAACGTACGCTGGACTTATGAACCCATACGTACAATCCATGAGGCTTCATTCATAATTCATCTAAGTGACTTATAACCCAAGATTATATGGTACAAGACTTATGCATCTTGTAAATATGCAAAGGTCTAAATTTTAATTCCCATAGGCAACACTCATTAAATATTTAATCACGTTAGACTTATGTATCAATATGGAATTGGGAAAGGGAACCCGATTTCGAATCCCTTGAGCAACACTTAGTCACATATTGAATATGTTCTGGCTTACATTTTTGGCTTGGGGACCCGAGGTCGATCCCCAATGCCCACACTTCTCTTTTTTTTCTTTTCTTTCCTCTCTATTTTCGTTTAAGATCAAGAGGATGTGGGCTCGATCCCCCACAACCTCATTTTATTTTTCTTTAATTTATCCTACTTCTCTTACCTATCTGAAGGGTTGTTGGTTCGATCCCCCACACTCCCCATTTTATTTTATTTCCCTTTTTCTTTAGTTTCTTCACCCAGCCTTACCCTATTTCAAATCCCTTTAACCTCACATTAAATATTAAATTTTTCAGCAGCCTACATATAGTGAGGTCTCGAGTTCAATCCTTAATGACCTCACATATTTAAAAATGATTTTTAAATCTCTAATTCCTCAAGCTACATAGCTGAACCAAATTTCCAGCAATCTAGAAATTTGGTTACATTTTCCAGTCCAATTTCTCTACATTTTATATGTTAGATTGTAGGACAATTTGAAGAGCATTTCGTACATTTTTAGGTGCATTTTTGTGGTTACATTTAGCCAAGAGTTTTCACTCAATTCAACAACATCACAACTCATATGAAGCATTTTCACATAAAACACAAGGATTCAACATGCCTTTTTCACACTTCAATTTGTGACACGAGTTACGGCCTTCACAATGCACACACATACTTTATCACATAACTTCGAAAAGACATAATTATCACCCACACAAGTCCGAACATACACACATGAAAATAATCATCACGAAACACGTTACATCCCTAATTTCTACCAGCAAACATACCCAACCTACTACAATCGTTGGGAGCTAGTGACAAGGACATGCAATGGGGAAATATTCCTAGTTTTCGGATTAGAATTGACTGAATCTTAGGGGTCTCTTGGGAAAGGAACCAAGAGGAAGAAAACCCATACCTTTCTCGATCAACACTCTCCAAACCTGCTACAATGGACAGCCAACTCTTACGACACCAAAACCTCACCACCAAACTTCAAGTACCACCCATCAAGAACAATGTTTTTGCTTTTCATTTTTAATTTAGTTTTTCTTTTGAGTTTTAGCGTTCAAGCTCTTCAAGAGTGATGAACTTTTGATTTTTCTCTTTTAATGATAATGAAGCATGAGAATGAGAGTGGAGAATCGTGAGAATGAGAGTGGAGAGATGTTATAGTAAGCTTAGGAGTAGGAGTTTTAGGTAAGGACTTAGTCACACTAGGACTCTTTGTTATTTTAAATAAAAAAATGGTGTTCTAACGCTTAAGTGACAAAACTAAAATGCCCTTAATTAAATACCAATTAATTCAACTTACATATTGCTTCCACCAAGGATCGAACCCGGGTGAAGCGCTTCTCGCGAAAATAAGTCAATTTGGGTTTACCCTACCCGAATTGTACACTCCTAAAATAATTAATTAATTAATTCAATATTAATTAGGGTAATTACAATACTACCCTTATCCTGGAAAAGACCATTTTATCCCTAGACCCTCCAAACCTAAGATTACCCCTTTCAAGTCTAATTAAAACTCATCCGAGTGAATCTCCTCAATTCGGGTGCCCTACATAGCTGGACCCAACCTTTCCGAGCTCATCTAACTCACCAAGTTGGTTGGCTTGGCTGGTGTATAGGTTCTGAGGTATTGGTTCCACGCGCATCAAGTCGTGTGAACCTGGTCTAATTTAGGCATTCTAGGTACGCTTAGGCATTACTTAACACAGTCATTTTCGGGTTTTTTAAAGTAGTTTACCACAAATATAATAAATTACAGTTGATATAAAATAAACAAAAATGTATAAAAAAATCTTTAGGTAGAGGCGCGGATATCTCACTTTCTTTAAGGAGATTCAAGCACACGATGCCATAATCTACATTGATGCAGTAGTAATACCCACGCCAGGAGCCTACACCTTCAACTTGATAGGAAAACCACGACCATTGCTAGCCTTGAGTGAACCCTTGGCCTGGCTTACTTAACTTAGCGAAAGACTTAACTCAATTATAAAGCTGAAAATATTCATATGAAAATACTTTGGATAATAGTCTTGGCTAAAATGGTACTTAAGTCTCAAAAACAATATATGTATATCAGTAAATAAAAGATACCCAAAACTAATTGTCTGACTAACTGTTTATCTATGAAGCCTCTATTACTACTAAAATAAATGTTAGGACAAACCCCACAACATTTAACAAAGGAAATATGTAAAGCAATTAAAGAGTCCAACCAAATTCAAGGAGGCTCACCACTGACTCTAAAATGCTCAAGTTGGATCAACGAGGCGCTGGATGCTGATTTTAGTTACATGTGTCTGCATCATAAGATAATACAAGACAATTGGCATTAGTACATTAAATGTATGAGTATCTGATTTAGAATACTAAACAAAAACTATTAAGCTTGAAAGGATTAAGAATGAACTTACCTTCGCTCTACTCAACTCAATAAGTAATATCTAAATATAAAGCAGTAAATACACATACAATATATATAAAGCTTCTAAAAGAGTGTAAACACTTAGTTCATTAGATATAAAGAAATTATGGATGATTTGATGATGTTTAGTTGTGCTTTAGAGTGTCGGAAACAACTAGGAATCATAGGTACATCACTTAGGAACACATACAAAAATATGGGGGGAAATGGGATCGCCAGGTGACCCTGGCTCTCTATGTGGCGTAGGGCGACAGAGCCTGATACACAAAAACTGTCCTAGGGGGCTTTGGCTGGTGCGGCGCGCCAGGTCTTGGCACGCATAGGCTACCGTGAGGGGCTCTGGCAGGCGTAGCGCCCCAGGTCTTGTCAAACGGGATTTTTTAATTTTCTTCTCCGATTTTCAAATGTAAACCTTCTAAACCCCCATGGATCTCACCCCTAAATACTTAGGATCACTAAAATCCTAAATACCTTATATATTATACTCGAAAAAAACCTGGAAATACGAATCAAAAAATCTAAGGTATACCACAACTCAATTAACAAGAATTCAACGCTTTTTCATCAAGAACTTCAATGTTCACCATTCAATCTACTCTAACTTCGCTGAATTAAACATATTATTGTGTGGGTGGAAGAACCCATCAAAGAAATATCTCACATACCTTAAAGCGATCACCCCTGACAAAACTCACTCAACGTTCTTGGTGAAATCTTTGTCTTATTTACTTTCTCCTTTTTCTCTTCTCTTTTCTCCCAAAACATAAGCATATTAAATCTTCTAAAACTTGAATTAAGTCTTAATTTTACCCCTAATAAACCCTTTAAAAAATTATGAAATAGTACAGTGAAAAAACTAATATACCCTTATTGAAATCCGTATTGGATTTTCCTCAATCCTATGGCCCAACTTCCAATTGACATATCTCCCTCATACGAAACGAATTTGCACAAACTCAATGACGTTCGAAATATATTTTAAAGGGATTTACAACCATATAAAGAATTTTCCCTAACTCATCTTGAGGTAGAAGTCATGCTCATTTGAAAATGACTCAAAAACATACTTTTACACTTAGGAAATTTTCTAGATTTCTCCTATTCTTTCAAAAAATAACTATTATTAATTTCTTTTAATAATCCTAGCTATTTCGGCTTACGAGATGTTACAATATATCCCAACATTATCAGTTTGTACGATCAATGAAGGATCACCGAAGAACTTCTTCAACATAGATATATGGAAGACCAGATGAACCGCTTCTAACTCTTGGGGTAACTCTAACTCATATGTTACATTGCCAACCCTTTTGGAGATTCTATAAGAGACAATATTCCGGGGACTAAGTTCCCCTTCTTACAAAACCTCATAACCCCCTTCATGGGTGAAACTTTCAGATACACTCAATCGTCCACCTCAAACTCTAACAGCCTTCTCCTAACATCTTGTTAGGACTTTTGGAAACTATGTGTCGTCTTCAACTTCTATTGAATAAATTTTACTTTCTCCATGGATTGATGAACTAAATATGGTCCTACTAACCCAGCTTCAGGAACTTCGATCCACCCAATATGATATTTGCATCTTCTCCCATAAAGATCCTCATATGGAGCCATTTGGATGCTCGAATGGTAATTGTTGTTTTAAGAAAACTCAATGAGATCTATGTGATCATCCCCATTCCCTTTGAAGTTGATCAGACAAGATCTCAACATATCTTCTAAGGACTGTAAAGTACACTTTGCTTATCCATCTATTTGAGGATGAAAAGCAGTGCTCAAGTTTACATTCAAACCCAAACCTTTCTGGAAAGATTTCCAAAATTGTGCAGTAAATTGTGCACCTCTATTCAAATAATGGAGACTGGAACTCTATGAAGTCTCACCACCTCTTGAACTTACAACTTAGCATAATCCTCGGTCGAATAGGTAGTCTTTACCGGCAAGGAATCGACTGATTTTCCAATTCTATCGACAATCACCTAAATAGAATCATACTACCTCCGAAATCTTGGTAACCTTGTGACAAAGTCCATATTAATCATCTCCCACTTCCACTTTAGAAGTTCTATAGCCTAAGCCAATACTTCAGGTCTTTGCTGTTCTGCACATGTTTTCAATTCGGGCAATTAGAAACAAACTCATCAATATCTTTCTTCATGCCTTCCCACCCTCTATCAAATTATGGTACATCTTGATGGATCTCAAATGAATGGAATACCTAGAGCTATGAGCCTCCTCCAGGATCCTTTCTTTGAGTCCATCCACCCTTGGTACACAGAATCTACATTGGTACGTCAGAACACAATCTCCCCCTTGTTCAAAAGTCAATACTCTTTGCTTATGAACATTCACCTTTACTGAAGCAAGATGAGGTTTTTTCTTGTTTCTCTTTCACCTCTGACACAAGTGATGATTAAGCCCCATTAGTCACCACTATCCCTCCTTCTATGGAATCCATAAGCCTTACTCCCAGGCGTGCGATTATGTAGACATATTTAGCTAAATCCCTCTTTTATTCTTGAGAATGGGTGGTACTCTCCATAGATAAACTGCTTAAGAAATTAGCAACTACATTAGCCTTACCTAGTTGGTAAAGAATACTCATGTCATAATTCTTAAGTAATTTTAACCACCTCATTTTCCTGAGATTAGCTTCTTCTGAGTGAACACATATTTGAGGCTCTTATGATCATTGAATATGTCAACATGAACACCATACAAGTAGTGATGTCATATCTTCAAAGTAAACACCAATGCAGTCAATTCAAAGTCATAAGTCGGATAATTCTTCTTATGAACCTTCAACTATCTGGAGGCATAAGTTATCACCTTGCCATTCTACATTAATACATATCCCAAACCAACTCTTGTTGCATCACAGTACACCACAAAACCTTGAGTATCCTCATATAAGGTCAAAACACCAGCGGTAGATAATCTTTTTTTCAATTCTTGAAAGCTTTTCTCACAAGCTTCAGACCATTGAAACTTGATTGTCTTCTGATTTAGCTTGGTAAAATGAGATGAGATATATGAAAAATATTTGACAAATCTCTTATAATAGCCAGCCAAACCCAAGAATCTCCTTATATCTGTTGGAGACGTGGGTCTAGTCCAACTCTGAATTGTCTCTATCTTTTGGGTATCAACTCTAAACCCATCATCGGAAACGATGTGGAGCAAGAATACCACAGACTTAAGACAAAACTCATACTTGGAGAACTTGGCATATAGCTCCTTGTCCTTCAAAATCTGCAGAACAATCCTAAGGTGACTAGCATGATCTTCTTCATTCCTTGAATAAATCAGTATGTCATCAATGAAGACGATGACAAACAGATCTAAATAGGGTCTTAAAACTATTCATAAGGTCCATGAATGTTTTAGGCGCATTGGTCAAACCAAAGGACATAACCAAAACTCATAATGCCCATATCTTATTATAAAAGTTGTCTTTGGAATGTCACATTCCCTAACTTTCAACTGATGGTAGCTTGATCTGAGATTAATTTTCAGTAAGCAAGAAGCACCCAGAATATGTTCGAAAAGATCATATATCCTTGGAAGAGGAAACTTATTCTTGATGGTAACCTTAATCAATTGGCAGTAGTCTATACACATCCTAAGGGAATCATCCTTTTTTCTCGCAAATAAGATTGGAGAACCCCAAGGTGAGACACTTGGTCGGATAAAACCTTTATCTAACAAATCTTTCAATTGTTCTTTAGCTCTTTTAATTGTGTTGGTTCCATTCTTTATGGCGGAATAGATATAGGATGAGTATCTAGGATGATGTCTATGACAAAATCTATCTCTATTTCAAGAAGGACTCCAGGTAGATTATCAAGAAAAACTTTTGGAAACTCTTTCACTATAGAAACTTACTGAAGGGATGGTACCTCAGCACTCGAGTCATTAACTCAAACTATGTGATAGATACACCCCTTTGAAACTAACTTTCTTGCCTTAAGGTACGAAATGAAACGACCCTTAGACACTGTTGAACTTCTACTCCACTCTATGACTGGATCATTAGGAATCTGGAACTTGACAACTCGAGTTCTACAATCTATTGATGCATAACAGGCATGAAGAAAGTCCATACCCAAAATGACATCAAAATCGACCATGTCTAACTCTATTAGATCAGTCATGGTGATTGATGGATATTGGACAATCACGATAGACTCTTTCCGCTAGAATAGACTCCCCAACAGGTGTAGAAACACAGAAGGGTTCACAAATTTTTTCAGGAAGGATCTCAAACTAATTTGCAACATAGGAGTTACAAAAGAAAAACTTGCTCTTGGGTCTAACAAAGCATAAACATAAAAAGTAAAGACTTTGATCATACCCGTAAAAACATCAGAAGAGTTCTCTTACTCTTGCCGGCTAGTGATTGCATAGAGATAGTTTGCTCCTCTGCCATTACTAGAGGTGGATCCTCTAGGTGCAGCCCTGTCTGGTGGAGCAACTGATGAAGATTGGACTCTATTGCCCAGATTTTCACCTTCCTGCTTATTCCTGGGACACTCTTTCATGTAGTGCCCTTCTTGACCACATTTGAAACAACCTGACTGCCATAATAACACTTACCAACAAGGTTTCTACCAAACCTACCACATGCCGGAGCTCAACATCTCTTTGTTCCACACTACCTTGGGACTATGTTGGTCTAGCCTTAAAGTTTTGTGAATTCTGGCCATTATACTAACCTCTGATTCTGGGAGCAGGTGCACTAGTATATGATGGTGCATGCCCTTTTTGTTTCTAAATTGTGGTCGACTTGAACCACCCTTATGTTGACTCATTATCAGTCTTAACTTTCTTGTTCTTGTACTCCTCTCTGTCCCTCAGCTTCTCCTTTTCAACTTGTTGCACATAGACCATTAACCTGGAAATGTCCATGTCCCGAATCAACATTGCAGCCCTACCTTAATGCTTGAAGCATGACCCAAGCTAGCAACAAACAAGTTCATCCTACTTCTCATATCCTTAACCATCTCCGGAGCATAGCGAGATAGTTGGGTAAACTTTAACCCATACTCTTGAACAATCAACGACCTGTTTCAAAGTAAGGAACTCCCGTACCTTTTTTGCTTCCTTCGGTTCTCTAGGGAAGAAACGTTTCAAGAAGGTATCCTCAAAGCAAGACCAACTTGGATTTGGTGCATCATCATCTTCGTTCTCCTTTCACTGAACAAACCAAGTCCTATCCACATACTTCAGTTGATATGCGGCCAGTTCAACTCTCTCAGCATCTACCATATGCATCACATCGAATACCTTCTTGAATTCTTCCACAAAGTTTTTCGGATCCTCGGTGGTGCTTTAACTAGTGAAGATTGGAGTATTCATTCTTAGGAATTCACGAATCCTTGAGGTGTCAGCCTCTTCCTATCGATCTCTTCTATGTTGAACAACCTGGTTAGTCACCGTTTGTCTTAGCATCCGGATAGACTCAAGGAACTCTACATTGTTAACTTCCCCTTGAGGTTGCACTTCAGGTGCATTAGGTACCTCTAATTCCTCTACATTTCTTCGGGATTGAAAACCTATGACTGCTATTCGTGGAGGCATGATGAACTACAAACATGTGCAAGCACGAATTAGAGGGAAACTTTTTAGAGATAAACTCTGACACACGAAGTGAGTAAGAAAGAAGCGAGAAAGTCCTAAATGTTGTAGCCTCATAATCATAGATGTGGTGCGCTTTACATTTATGACTAAGACTCTACAGACAGGTCTTCATAGACTCCCTAGGAATCCTGAACTTTGTGCTCTGATACCAAGTTTGTCACGCCTGGAGCCAACACCTTGGACGTGGCCGCCACCCAACAACCATTGCTAGCCTTGAGTGAACACTTATTCTGCCTTACTTAACTCAGCGGAAGACTTAACTTAACTCAATTATATCTGGAAACATTCTCATTAAAGCACTTTGAATAATAATCTTGCACAAAATGGACCTTAAGTCTCAAAAACAATATACATGTATCTGTAAATAAAAAGAGACCCAAAACTGACTGTCTGACTAATTGTTTGTCTATGAAGCCTCAACTACTAAGATGAATTTTGGGACAAACCCCACAACATTCTATAAAGGAAATATGAAAAGCAATCAAAGAGTCCTCTGGAATGTAAGGAGGCTCACCACTGACTCTGAAATGTTCAAGTTGGATCAACGAGGCGCTGGATGCTAATCCTGGTTACCTGCGTCTTCATCATAAGACGATGCAAGCCAACTGGCATAAGTACATTAAATGTACGAGAATGTGAGTTGGAATGCTAAACAACAACTATTAATCTTAAAAGGATTAAGAATGAACTTACCTTGGCTTTGCTCAACTTAAGAAGTAATAACTCAATATATAGCAGTAAAGACACATGCAATATGTGTAAAGCTTGCAAAATAGTGTAACACTTAGTTCGTTAGAGATAATGAAATAATAAATTCAACTTTACTTGTATACAAAAGTATATAGTTTCTGTGGGAGATTCTCTAACTGATAACCATCACTATGAGTCTAAGCGATGGTTAGACGTCTTACCTCACGTTGCAAGAAGACCGATCTATACCTTGTCATCGGTATAGAACCTGAACTACTAAGTGGATCCACTAGTTTATGCTAAAAAGCACTAAGAAATCATCTAAAAAGTATGATCATTTATCTGTCCATGTTGTATACATGGTTTATGGAGACTTGAGCTGATATGAACTCGCGTTCCCATATCGGTGCTCAATACTACCCCCAAAATACTTAGCTCATATGTATTTAAAACAAATTCTTCTCTGGTTTGAGGTAATTGCTCAGACTTAGCTTTAAAAACTCTCTTGAAAATAATAGTTCCCATTTTCTAAAACTAGCCAAAGACTTTGTGGAAGTCTAGCTCCCTTTCTTTCTCAAATTATAAAAACATTTGCAACTCTTAGGGACTATTTAGTTCCCTTATAATTGAGAAATGAACTCACTTTTTGCTCTTTGCTTTACTTGAAACTTAACTCCTAGGGAATACTTAGTTTCCTTATAACTTTTGAGATTTAAACTCAAATCATTACTCTTTGCTCAATTTGTAGCTTGAGCCTTAAAACAAAGTCAAAATGTTTGTTTAAGACTCTTGAAAACTTTAAGAACTCGCTATGACTTGCTACTTAATTTTTAAACATGACTCTTAACTTCTTTGAATTTGATCTTAATTTTACTTGAATTGGATTATGGATTCAACGATCATGATCTCATGTCTATGAATGATTTCACGATATTTAGATGTACTTTAGAGTGTTGGAACCAACTTGAAATTATAGGTACATCACTTAGGAACTTGTATGAAAAGAGGGGGGGGATGGGATCTCTAGGTGACCCAGGCGCTCTGAAAGGCGTGGGGCGCCAGAGCCTGATGGACAGAGATTGTCCTGAGGTGATCTTGCAGGCACGACACGCCATGCCTTGTCAGACAGAGGCTGACCTGAGGGGCTCTGGTAGGCGCGGCGCCCCAGGGCTTGTCAGACGGGATTTCTGACTTTTCTTCTCCGATTCTCAATTCTAAACTCCCATGAATATCAGTATAAACACCTATGATCACTAATATCCTGAATACCCAATAGTTTAGACTCGTAAAACATTCTGAAAACATGAATCAAACAACACAAGGTATACCACAACTCAACTAACAAGGATTCACCGGTTTTCATCAAGAACTTCAATGTTCATTATTCAGTCTACTCTAATTGTGCTGAATTAAACATATTATTGTGAGTGGAAGAACCCATCACAGAAATATCTCACATACCTTAAAGGGATCACTCCGATGAAACTCACTCAATGTTCTTGGCGAAATCTTAGTCTTTTCTCCTTTGTCCTTCTTCTCTTCTCTTTTTTTTTCAAGCCCTAAGCGTATTCAATCTTCTAAAAACTGAATCAATGTTTAATTTTACCCCTAAATAAATCCTCAAAACAAATTAGGAAATAGTAGGGTGAAAAGACTATTTTACCCTTACTAAAATCCGGATCGGGTTTTCCCCAATCCTACAATCCAACTTTTGATACGCATATCTCTCTCATACGAAATAAAAATTGCGGAAACTCGAATGCGTTGGAAAAATTTCTTCATGGGCTTTCTAACCATATGAAGAACTTGCCCTAAATTATCGTGAACTAGAAGTTATGGACATTTGAACATGACCAAAAATCTTACTTTTACACTTACGAAATTTTTCAGATTTCTCCTATTCTATCCAAAAATAACTATTCTTAGTCTCTTTGATTAATCTTAGATATTTTGGTTGACGAGATGTTACAGTAATACTCTTAACTTGTCCCCTCCAGGATACAACATCCCAACAATGTGTACAACTCAAGCAACTCCGAATTAGTTGACGATTCCAAAGTTCCACAAAATAACATCTTCTTTCAACATATAAACTATTTTCTTTTGTATATAGTGAATATAGTTGAAAACTTAGAATATTATTTTTTGTTTCAACTCTCTCTTTCACTACTACACTATCTCAATATAAACACAATAAAATACTACTCATATTATTCACTCTATATTTTTTTACATGTATTGTTGTTTCTACTTCTTCTTCTTCTTATCTACAACACATGGAAGACAAGTAGACCACTCTATTTATAGGTGATAAATTCTTCCTTGCAATTAATAGGAAGATAGTAGATAATAAATTTGTCAAATGAATGGCTCAAACATTATATAAGTTACAAGACTTAAAAGATAGAATAATGTGTGAAATGAAGAGTTGGTGGTTACACAAGTTACTAGCAACTAGTGACACTTTCTTCGACTATTGATGAGAGTAAAGAGCACAAATATAATGTCCACCAACAGATATAATATGATAAATAATGGAATTTTTTACCAAAATGAGTCATTATTAAAATCAATTGACTAAATAGTACATTTTTCTGAAATTTTAGAAAAATAATGTAAACATGGTTCACAATAACATCTTAGGAATTCAATAACAAAACGGCCAAAGCTGACAGCTAACAGAAAATAAAATGTGACTGCCAATAACGTTTTAAGTTCGTTTCTGACAAGCATGTTTTATAGCTACACTCAGTGACATTTTATATTTCCTCAGTTTGTTATTTATTTATTTTTTGCTGAAGACGACACAACAAGTGAACATCAAGCAACTAATATATGACTACTAATGTTATAAATTTCATAGGTCAGATTAACAGCACACGGTGCTTAAAAAGAAACTATATTATCATTTAACTCGTGACTTGAGAAGATTCACTTAACGTGAGCCAAAGGGGCCAATTGAATAAGGTTTACTGATCCAACAAAAAATGAAAGTAGCTAATTTTAAGTCATTTTAAACGAGTAGTTTTAACTTTTATAAGTCATTTTCAACGAGTAGTTTTAACTTTTTTAAGTCACTTTAAACGAGTTATTTTAACTTTTTTTTTTATTTAAACTAGTAATTTTAACTTTTTAAAATCATTTTAAATTATTTTAAAAAAAATTAAATAAAAAGTCTTAGTAGTAAGTCTGCATTCGAGATGATGATAAGATGTGTATGAGTTAAACAAGTTCTCTTCCAGCTGGTGAAACAAGCAAACCATGAACTATATCTTGTGCAACAGGAAAAGAAACATACAGTAATAAATACCTTGTGCACTCACTTGCTCAATCAATATCAGATACTCTTCTATTAAACTATAAACAAAAGTCATGTCCCTTGATGATGATGGCAATAGAATTCAAAAAAAGAAGACATATTTGTGCAACTTATAGTTAATGGAAAAAAATCACCAACTAATTGAAGCTAAATGGAAGGGAAGTTAAATCTCTATGGTCATGCTCCAATCTGCAATAGGAATTTGAAATTATTAACAAGCTTATCAGAAGTCTCCTAATGCATTTAGTGAATAAATGAAAGACTAAGGACAGTAAGCTGAAATTATTAACAAGCTTATCAGAAGTCTCCTAATGCATTTAGTGAATAAATGAAAGACTAAGGACAGTAAGCTTACTCGGAAGTCTTCGCCTAAAGAGACTTTATTAACTTTTGGTTTTTTTTCTTTTGCCATGCTATTTCAGATGGGAACTCCTTGGCAAGTAAAAGATTTTTCAATTATTCAATTAAAAAGAGCGCACTAATGTGTAAGATATATGTGAAGGTTTTCAACTGTAAGTAAGTTTCACGTGAATCCTATCAGCCTCTTCCACATACGTCAAACAATTAGATCCTTCATCCCGGACCATTACACAAAATATCTAAATTCCTCCATTGATGGGCTATCACCCAGTGATATATATAGCTTTGTTAACCATCAAATGAATATGACGCGCCTGTGTAACATAAATTAATTATATGAGAAGAGTAATTCCTATACATTCAATATAAAACAGAATGACATTTCATGTCCAATGAATAAAAATAGTCCAACTTTGATAAGAAACACACTGTTTAAAATATGACATGCCAAAATGTAGATTCAGCATAGCAGGGGAATGGAAAGAAATTGTAAGCTCATGCTAGTGTAGCAAAGAACATCAAGACTACCAGAAGTAGTGGCAGCACCTCTGCCGAAGCAACTGAAAGTGAAACGGCAAAGGTATCAAATGAAAATAACACGGAAACCACAGATAAAGAAGCTAAAGAGGCAAAGGTATCGGATGAAACTGATGCTAAACAACCAACTGTTACTGAAGAGAAATCAAAGTTAAACAAGCTGCTGCTGGATATTTTTTGTTGGAGTATCTTATACTTTGGTGTTTCATATAAAAAATGCATCCCCTCAAAGTTAAACTTCAATAAATTACTTCTTGATAGCCTGTTTCTCTTGCAAGAAGCCTATAACTCCTAGTCAAAAAAGAAAATAAAATATCCTAATTTTGTAAAGTCACTAGATAATTAAGAAAAAAATGCATCTTTTGTAACATAGAATGCAAGCAAAAGCCAATCCTTATCATCTTTCTCTGCTCCTCAATATTTTCACGGTCAGTAAGTGGTTAACTTTTATAATAGGGCAATCAGTGCTCCTTATCATGAACTTAGCCGAACATAGTATTTTTTGCATATGAATATTTACAAAATTCGTACAAAAAACAATAGATTTCAATTGAACCAAGAAAACTCGCCTTAATCTATCAACTCCATTATACGATGGACAAAGTCCTTAAGGATCCAGTTAACTTTAAAGAGCAGAAATTGAAAATTATGTTTACCTAAGCTATTAGTTCTCTCAACAACAAGCCTAGGGCCAACATAGTGTTCTCCACTTTGCTTAATTTATTCCCCTTTGTATGCCTAACTCGAGTAATTACACAGTAGAATCGCATTACATAGCAATGATCAGGGAAAGAAAGCGATACAAGCATGCTAAGGTTACATTACCCCAGGCAAGTACATAAGCTTTAAAAGGCCGCCAGATGTGTCTGCCAATATTAAACCAACAATCATCCAAAACATATAACACCTAGCCTTCTCATTGACCATATCCTATGTTGCCAAATCAGACAACTGTGGTTGAAGTCGCACGTGTGCATTAAGTGCAGAGACCTACTATGTTTAAAGTCTTGAGGATGTGGAGTAAAACCAAATAATCTTTAACAAATATTCTGCCAATCCGCTATGGTCCTCTTTGGTTCATAGCCAAGTACTGGATTACCTTCCACGGATAAGTCATACAACATCTCCACGTCCTGTAAGATGATCGTAGCCTCACTCGTCTGAATGAAAGGTATGAGTCTCAAAGACGACATCTCTCAACTAGTGAAGTGATTAAACTACTGTCCACAACAGGCCAATGAAATCTATAGACACCATACAATTCAGATAATCTAATCACATCTATGACTCGTGGATGGATGAAATGTTCATTTACGATGCCCAAAAATTTCCATCACGATTCCTTGTGTTCAAAATCATATTATCATTTCCTATCCATATATCTCGTGACCTGTGAATGAGTTGTTCAGTTAATATAGACGGATCATCAGTTAATATAGACGGATCAAGTAGACCGGAATCCAATTGGTCTGCATTACTACTAGTGATTCCTACACACAAATGAAATGTTTTTACAATAATGAACAAAACTAACAAAGCAAATCAAACTAAAGTACATTTTATAAACTTTCCTCAAATGCTTCACGCATAAAGTTCAATCATATATCAATTAAAAATCTAATTTCTATAAAGTCGCAATCTTTGAGGAAATCGGATACCATTGCTCAATTTAACAAAAAGGGAAACGACATATTCAATAAATCTAAGATCAACTATACTAGCATGAGACAAAAGTACCTCAATCACAAAAACATACTACTCTTCAAAGCTTTTTGACCATTTTTTTCAAGCAAAACAGTCAATCTCCTTCCAATTTTTGAACGTTCACAGCTACGTAAATCTTGTAATGTGCAAAATCTTCAACCGCTGAGCAAAAGAATTTCGAATCTAGTGTAGTTAGCGTGTCGATTCTGCAAGAGGCGGGTTTTTCTTACCGGCGATGGTTGCAGGTGTCTGATGTGAATCTCCATGATTTTTTGTTCAATTTGATAAATTAAATGAGGTTTTGTTAAATACAATGGGTTTTGATCGATTCATATGAAAAAATGGATTGTATTAGAGGCACTTTCTCAATAACATATTATGTTTAAAAAGTTATTTCCTAACAACGTGTTAGTATCAAACTCTGTTCCCCTTTGAGTCCTCTTTTCTGTTATGTTTTTTTTAATAAAACAAAGTGAAAAACGTTATTCTGAATCACGTTTTATAATTTTCTTAAAATTTCAATTGTTAAAAAATACCTCTTTTAACTTGTTAATTTCTTTGGGTACTCAATAAGTTTTAATTTCGATTGTCTTGTCAAGGGGTAGACATTGTTTAGTGTACCTCTAATCATTTACTTTCTAAGTATTCTTGTTAAGTTTTGCATAAAATGTTTTTGTGTTATGATGAGTGGGGATAGTTATGGCTTCATTTTAAAAGGATAGATAATCCTTTCAGTTAGTTTGGATGTAGTGGTTCGTGAAAAATTTTATGATGGTAGGAATACAACTTACAAGTATGACACGGTGTATGAGAGATTGTTTTTAATTAAAAAAAATGAGTGGGGCATATTTTTGTATTTACATTGTTATTTTTCTCTTCTATTTTTACTTATTTTTTGAATGATGAATGAGTTCTTTTTCTTTCCTACTTTGCTTCTCACACTTCTTTTTCTCAATTTCTTTCATTTAACCTTTTTTTTTCCTTTCTAATTTTTTGTTTATTTTAGATCAGTGTTTTCCAATTATGAATTTGATTTACTCAATTCTTCTTGTATTATATATCTTCCTTCATTTGATAATTAGCGTGTAGATTTTATTTTTTTTAAAAAAACATAAAAAAATATCTAAAGGAAAAATCTGAGAAAAAATTATAAAATGAAGACTGAAATTTTAACCTACGAGATAAACGTCTAGGCAGTCAATTAACTAAGCAATGAAATTCCTAATTTTATACATATATATACATTTGATTAATTAGTTTTTTTACTTATCAAACAAATCAAATCAATAAAATTAAGTTTTTTATTTTCCCAATCTTTTAAAAAGTTTGATTGTGTTTTACACTAAAATTAATTCAAATTATATCTAAATCAATTTATTTAAAAGGAAAAAATATTTTGTATATACAAATATTTATCATACAATGTATTTTTTATTTATTTTTTGCACATTACAGTTGATATTTTTGTATATATATAATTGTTTAACGACAAGGCTTCTGATGAAGTGATAAATATTTTTTCATCCTTAACCAAAAGGTTTCATGTTTGGGTCTCCTTGGGTATGGAGTCGCATTTGTTAGGGAGAGCTTTACCTTTCCCCTCACCCCAAATGTGAACTTTCCAATGTAAACTCGGATTTAGTCTGACTCCTAAATGGGTATCAGACACAGATTGAGAATAATAAAATAATAATATGTATGTTTATGTGCGCGTGCGTGCTTCTGAATTGATTCGCGTGCTTCTGAATTGAATCAAATAATTGTGTAATATAGTGTGGATATTTACAACAAATATTATAAAAAAAAATCAAATACACTTTATTATAATATGATTCAAATCAAGCTAAAAATATAGAGAAAATAAAAAGAATCTATTAAAAATATTTGGTGTGGTTTATTAATATTCAAATTAATAAAATAGTTCAATATAATAAGTGAAAAAATTGAATAATCAAACTTAAACTACAAATATCAAATGAGGATATTAATAGTATAGTTGAGAAAGGAAGAGATGATTTGGAGAAGAATTCATTCCTCTCCGAGCAGTGAAGTCCCATATCCTAGAGAGAGGGCTTTACCGGTCGTTAAGATAGAGTTGGCTATCTAAATTTTTAGTTCGTAGGTAAAAGTTTTATTATCATTTTCTTCCATATTTTTTATATAATTTAAAAATAAAAATAATATACTTGTTAATTATCAATATAATTTAAAAAATAAAAATAATATACTAGCTAATTATCAAATAAAAAAAGATGAATATATGAATGATATAAAAAAGGAGTAGATAAAATTCATTAGTCGAAGTTGATCTAAAAGTTTAGAGTAAAGAAGAATTATTCTTTTTAACAAATGTGAGAAAGAAAAAAATAGAGAATAGAACGTCGGTGGAGTAAAATGTAAAGGGAAAGAGAATATCGATGTAAAATAAGAAGAATATGACTTACATAACTTTTTATTCTTAAAATTAAGTAAAGGTAGGAGAGAGATATGATAATGTAAACAGAAAAATAGGACCCACACATTTTCTATTAGAAAGTAATCACTCACCCACCATGTCATACTTGCGCTTCTACCCCCATAAAATTTTTCAGAATGTGAACATTTATAAACTAAGAAACTAATAAAAGAAAAGATGAAAGATAGAAAAAAAAATGTAATAGCTAAAAGAATTCATAAAGCAATAACTAAAGATTGTAAAAAAATGTAAATATAATTTTGCAATAATTATTAAATTAAGACAATTTATAATGTTATTACTAAAGAATTAAAGTGTAATAGCATAATTTCTTCTTAATCCTACATTTATTTGAATAAATTTTGTCACACTCTGAGTCTATACCCTGGACGTGGCCGGCACTCGAAGCTCATTATTGGCCTCGAGCGGACCCTTAGTCTAACTTACTTAACTGAGCAGAAGACAATACACATATTTTAATAATGATCAATAACTCAACTAACTGATAAAACTGAGAATGTTTTAAAGATTAAACATTCAACATGACAAAAGTTGCAATCCAAAGACTTAACAGATAGAAAGATATTGAAAAGACTAAAGGATTAAAATCTGACTATCTATCTATGAAACCTCTAAATCTGGATGTTGGGACGGACACCACAACATCCTGATAAAGAAAGTACTGAAAGCAATAAAAGGAGTCCTCTGAAATACAAAGAGGCTCACCAATTAACTCTGGATTACTCAATTGGATCAACAGTGCGTTGAATGTCGATTCTCTTTACATGCGTCTGCATCATGTGCAGGCTAACACAATTCAGTACATTGAATGTACGAGTATGCGAGTTTGAATGATAAAACAACTTAAGCTTGAAGAGAGTAAGAAGGAACACTTACCTTGGTTCTGCTCAACTAATAAATAACATAACTCAATATAACTAACTCATTCTAATATAAAGCAATTTAAAAGCAAGTGCAATACAAAGAAAAGTTATTTAAAAACATGTTGTAAACTCTGAATGTATACAAGGATCCAATTAACTCTGAGATGTATGTAAAAATACATATAAATTGATGTGTATATGTATAAATACATTTAACTTTTGTGGGAGTTTCTCTAACCGAAATCCATCACTTAAGAGCTATAGTGATGACACAGTGATCTACCTCACGCTTTTCTACTCATGGTGGCTACATGATTTTATGGAGATGTGAGTTATTGGAACTCATGCTCGTACCTAATTCGATGCTCAATACTACTCCCAAAATATACTAACTCTTATGTTTTTAAAACATACTTATTTTGTGATTTGAGATCAGTGATAAAAAAAACTGAGCTCAAAGGCTATCTTGGAAATCTCAGTTTCCCTGCTTGCTTCATTTTATAAAGCTATAACTCTTTTCTGGAAAAAAAATAGCTCGAAGACTCTTTGAAAAACTCAGTTTCCATTATTATTCAAATGTGAAAAACATTTCTTTTAAGCTTCTTTGGGAATACATAGTCCCTAAATATCTCTTTGAAGGAAGAACTTCAACTCTTTACTATTTACTTAGCTTGAAACTTGAGTCTTAAACAAAGTTAAAAATATTGCTAAAGAATCTTGAAAACTTTTAAGAACTTGCTTTGACTTACTTCTTAACTTTTGGACTTGACTCTTAACTTCTTTGACTTTGATCTGAACTTTCTTTGAAATCGGATTATGGATTCAAGGTTCATGATCTCATGTTTATGGATAATTTCATGATATTTAGACGTACCTTAGGGCAATAGAATCAACTAGGAAACGTAGGTATATCACTTAGAAAGTAGCTCGAAATGATGGGGGAAGAATGGGATGAACTGACGTCCTTGGCACTCTAAGAGGTGTGGGGCGCCAGGCCCCAAACTTCAAAGGCTAATTTGGGGTGATCTGGATGGCGCGCGTCCCAAGGCCCTACGAACAGAGATTGTCCTATGGGAATATAGGAGGTGTTGTTCCCCAAGACCCTACAGACAGGCGTTCTCGACTTTGCTCCTCCGTTTTCATCTCTAAACCCTCTAAACTTCCATAATTCTTTCTCCAAACAGTTAGGATCATTATTACCCTCAATACCTAGTAAATTTAACTTGAAAAATAACCAGAAAACACAAATCAAATCAACAATAGGCATTTAACAACTCAACCAACAAGAAATCAGCAATGGTCTTCAAGAACTTCACTTCTTATTATTCACCTTATTCAAAAATCACTAAATTGAAACAAGTTTGGTGTTTGGGTGAATTGACCCAACACTAACATCCGATTAATCCCACTTGCAAAGCTTGACATTTTTGGCTATTTCTTGACTTCTCTCCTATTCTTTCTTCTTTTCTCTTTTCTCTTAGCCCTAAGTGTAATTCTTGTCACATCCCGAGATAACATGCTAGAAGATATGGCACTCTCGAAGTGCAACCGGAGTACTTGACCTCTCAGAGGTCTTGTACAATCCTTTCCGTATCATTCATCCCATATAAAGATATGAAAAGTAGTGCGAAATTATATGGACTCGCGTTCCAGGTCGAGTTGCTCCCAACTATCAATGGACTCGTGTTCCAGGTCGATGAACCAATAGAATGTATTCTCTTTCAGCGAACAAGCAAAGAGTTTTACCAAAAGGTCACCATGTATTCCAACGTTGCTACAAGTTTCAACAAAGTGTGCGATATGTTGCCTTGGGTTCCCCTTGCCATCAAATTATTGTAGCTTTTGTGGCTGATAGTTTGTCGGCATGGATAGATAATCAATTTGTCTAGTATATGGCTTGGAGGAATCAAGGAACTTTGTGGTGTTCCACTATATTAAGCCCTGATAGTGTTCGTTATCATGTCTTGCTACTGTTGGCCAGATAGTGCAGCAATTGAAGCAGATTGTTTATCCTTTTAAACTTGGACTTTGCTAAAGATTCCTCAACGTCCTTATTTTGTTGATCAAAACCAGATGGACAAGTGGGAACGTGACTTGAATCTCTAGGTGTAAAGGCCTCCAACTTGTTCATAAGTTGAGCAATATGAAGATTTTTGTCATCAACGAATTTCTTCAAGGACTCAATAGTTTGCTCCATCATCGCAAACTTCTCGTCCTTGTCAGTTGAGTCGTCCATCAAAGCATTGACATTCATTGAAGTTGGAGAATCCATTAAATCTTCGAAATCACCAAAGTTGGAGTCATTTTGAGAAGACTCTCCAAAGAATACATACTCAAGATTGCCCCTAGGTATTGCACTTACGACAATCGAATGAGAGTTGTTGTTTCTCATTGCCTCCAAAGAAGTAAAGTATTTATATCCATCTAGCCCACTGTTTTTGAACTTATGCCGAGTAATTGGGACAACAATATTGAGACCAGCAGACACGACATCAGTAGACTCCTTGTTAGAAAAATCATAATTTTTTCTGAACGTCATTGCAGTAGTAGCCTTTGTAGTTTCTAATTTTCAAGAGAAAAAGATGAAGAGCAGAATCGATCCCACTGGGCGTGCCAAATTTGTTCGCAACAAATTTTTGTAAGCGTGGAAAATTAACTGCAAGCAAATTAAATAAAAGAAAATTGTGATTTTATTAATGAATCGTTGTGAGTACAATTCTGTTGTTCTCTTCATTCTCTCTCCTAAGTTTCTCCACAACTCGAGGGAATATTCATCCACGAGCTCTCTCTCTTTCTTATCGAAAAGCGCTTCTTCGTTGTAAGTCAATCCCTAGGAAGAACTCCGTTGATCACTCCTTCGAAGAACTATTCATGTTGATGTTGTAGCTTTCTCTAATTTTTTAAATGCGTGTTAAAGAATTTTTTGGAT